ATACTTCAAGTTGACAAGCAGAAGCAGAATCTTGCCAACGGACATTTGTCGGTAATTAGTTAATTAATCCTAACACAAATTATAAGCCATAACAAACCAGTCAGGCTGAACGTAGCCGGCTGTTCGGAATTAAACTTAGAAAAAGAGGGAGTGAGAGAAAGAAGAAAGAAAAGTTTGAAGATTCTTGTGGATCTGAGGGAAGGTGCTGTGCTCTTCACCACGGAAAGAGCAGCCAGGGACATGGTGGGGCAGGAGCTGGGGCAGAGCAGGGCTGTGCTCCCCCCTGACAGGAGCACAGGGGGTGGGATGCTCAGAGCAGGGGGTGCAGGGAAGGATTTGGGATTTCCACCCATTTTCTGTGAGTAAATGTGGCAAAAAGCTCCCCAGCTCTGTTTCCCACTCTGCCACTGCTGCCAGTGTGCACTTGAGATACGTCCTTGCCAAAGGAACAATCTGGGATGGGCAGCTGGGGTCCCCTCAGGTCCCTGGGCAGGTGGTGACATTAATCCAGAGGTTTCTGGAAGACAGGTTGGACCAACATCTGGGAAGGGCTCTGTCCTGGGATGCTGGGAGAGGAGCTGCAAACCAGCTGCCCATTAACACCCTGGTTTGGAAAGTGTTTCTAGGCCAGGCTGTAAAGGCAGGGGCAGTGCTGGGGAGCTGGGTCCTGCCAGGGAAGCTCGGTGCAAATGACACCAGGCCACGTGTGCGGTCAGCAGGGACCTGGTGTGAGCCTGGTGTCAGCCAAATCACCAGGGAGATGGGGAGGATAGATGGGAGGAGGTTAATGAGCTGCAGGCTGGTTTCCCACCTCCAGTCACCTTGGCTCAGGTCCAATTTTCAGCCCTAGATTGAGCGAGGCCAGTGATCCACAGGCAGGACTCGGTGACTGACAGCTCATCTGTGGCTGCACCACCTGTTCACACGTCCAGCCAGGGTTGGGGAGGCACTGCAGGGCCAGGCTTTGCCCTTCCTCCAGCATGAGAAACTCTGGAACAGCCAGGACTCGGAGTTCCTATGGAGAGGACCTGCACATCCCCAGCACAGGGACACTGCCAGGTGACAGACTGGGCCAGGGACAGCTGGCAGTGCAGCCTAAGTGAGAAATGGGACATGCAGGTCGCAAATGGGCTTTTATCAGGAAGGAAAAGAAGGCAAGGAGTGTTTTCAAAGAATAAATAGACAGCAGGGAAGTGTGACCATCCCACAGATCCCACACTGTCAGGGGAGTTGCCAGTGCCTGATGTGCCACGAGTACCATGTGAGCACACATGACCATCTCCTGACAGCACTTACACGCAGAGGAGAAAGAGATTATTTACATGACAATAAGAATTACCACTGAAGAAAAGCAGCCCCCGTCTTTTTCTGGCCCCAGCTCCCTGAGATGCCTGTGGAGCTGGTTCCTGTTTGCCATCAGACCCACGCAGAGCTCTGCTGAAGAGAAAGTTCCATCCGCATGTGCGTGAGCATGTGTAGCGCGTGTTCGAAGTGTTTTGCATTATGTGAGCTCTGACCTTCAGAGGGGAACAGAAGGAATATTTTCCCCCCTGAGGCTAGAGTTGTCAGTGAAATGTCTGTCTTCCTTAATAATTTCAATCCGGGTGACAGGGGACAGGGCATTTTGCTCTGAACGAACGTACTGTAAAAACTGTCAGATGGAATTTGTCTCAAGAAGCAACATTTCCATCCATTCGGGGTCATAATTACAGGCGTCTTATGACCTGTAGAGCAGCACATTTTTCTCAACCGAAAAGAAAGGAGTCCTAAAATAGGTGGTTTGTCCTTCTGCAGAGCTCTGTGTTGAGCCTGAATGGACTCTAACAAGCGATGGTGATCTGCAGCAGAATGCTTTCCTCGTTTGTTTGTTTGTTTGTTGGCTGTTTTTATAAAATCCAGAACAAACCGTGCACTGAAGTGACGTAGCAGAAAAGAGGGATAGAAATTGCCATTCACTGGGCTGGAGTAATGGCCTATTTCTCCTATATCCTGTCTCCTAACTGCCTGCCTCTCTGAATTTCCTCCACACTGACACTGGCCAGCATCTTGTTAATGAACTGAATAAGTAACTCAGTGGGTGATTAACCAAATGAGCATGACGATAATTTGATTGTGCTTTCCCCACTTTTAAAGCACAGGAAATGGTAAGAAAAGTAATAATTCAGTGACCAGCAGGAATTCAAACAGGACAGAGCTGGAGGAGCTGGAGGGAGCTCTGACTGGATGTTGCTGTCTATAAATGCCCCACAACACTGCAGAAATCTATGTTTTGCCAAATATTTTGATTTCTTGATTTGTGCCTCCACACCGGGGAAAAAAAACTACTCAATTATTTCAAGGAGCTTTTCCTTTTATGGTTTAATTTTATTATCAGCAACATTTATGAAATGGATGATCCTGAAAAGATGAGGCTTGGGGGTCACCAGCCCGGACTGCGTAACAGATCCCGCAGTTCCTTCTGATCCCCCACCTCACTGAGGTCTGAGTGACAAACCAAACTGGGACAGGGAACCCAAAGTCACCACAGTGGGGTGATGTGCTGCAGTGCTGGGAGAATTGGGAAAACTGAGCGATAACAGCCTGTCCCGGGCCAGCCCAGCTGCTCACGGTGCACATCCTCTTCCCCACTCCGAGGAAACAGCGATGACCACGGCAGAACCGCTGGGAAGGAGCATCCAGCCGAGGAGCAGGGCCCCAGCTGGTCTCTGGAACGTTCTCACCTGCAAGATCCATCCTGCCAGAGACACGAGTGTTAATCAGCTGGTGGCAGTGGCAGGTTACAATCCATTTTCACCTGCACACTGCAGTGGATGCCCCACTCTTGCCATCACAGGTGGAGGGTAAACACTCTGCAATGGGCCTGGGAGGGGGAGCAGAGCTGCCCTGGGAAGCAGAAGGATGCCTGTGGGATTGCTGCTGCCAGGCACTGATATTCCCTGACAAGTTCAGCAGGAATGAGGACTCTGGGAAGGCATTTTTCTGGTGGTGGGAGAGGAGGACACAGTCCCTCCATACTGACCTCAGCTTGGGAAACAGCAGGAGGTGAAAGGGTCCTCCTGAGGTCAGAGCAATCCCTCTGTGCCCCTGAAAGCCAGCGCTGCAGGGGGATGCCGACAGCCTGCTCTGCATCCCGGGAGAGCCAGGCTCAGCATTTAAATCCCACAGACAAACCCCCCATCCAGGGAGTGTCTAACACCCATCTGTCAAAGCAAACGTGTGAAAGGAAGACTCTGTAACTTTGCTTGCTGAAACTTCAGCAAGAGCTGCTCTCTGGAGACCCTGAGGCATCGTGGTGGGGAGGACAGAGCCAGACTGGCACCAGGGTTGCCCACAGCCTGGGCACGGGAGGAACAAGGTAAGGCTCGTCCCTGCCCATCCCTAAGGGGAATCTGTTTAGGGATATCATGTTTAGGCCCACAGAAAGTCAGCTCCAGGAGCTCCATGGAGCCCAGACAGGGAGATTAGGAGCAAAGCCCCGTGTAAGCCTTGCAGGGTTCATTCCAGGGTTGGTGATCCCAAAGGCACGCTCCAGCAGGGAAGAGGAGCTCAGTGCATCCCTGTGCTACTCCCAGCTTTTGTTTTTGGAATATCCCCATGTATAAATGCACCTAACTAACTGCAGTGTGTCATGAAAATAAAACAGGCAAAGGTAGATATAATTTTAAGACATGCTGCAGCCTGGACAACTTCCCTTTAATGGTGGAAAATATTCCCTGATTTCTGCCAGGCAGAACTGTCCTGCCAGTGTCATGGACCAGTGTCAGGAGCATCTGCACCCTAGGAAGAGGTAGGTGGGTGTGCACTGGCTTGCACGTGTGTTCCTAAACAGGGAAATCCAATCTGCCAAGAAAATTCAATAACAGCCTTCACATTTAATTGTACCCCAGGGCCCAGTAAAAATCAACAGGGATGGTAGTTGTGGATTTTTCGTTAACCTTTCTCTTAAAAAGGTCTCAAAAAAATAACCACTGAATGAGAAGGGCTAGTTGTACATGTGGAATAAGGAGGGAAATCTACAGGGGGAAAACGAGTGTTAAACTTCAGGTTGGATCGGCACAGAAAATCCTTCGGTAAAAGAAAACCTCCTGGTTTGATTTACACACGCAGCACTCGATTGAACAAGTGTTGCTACAGGCAATTGGAAAACAATCAAAATGGTGAATTTGCTGCTTGCACACATTTATACCCTTTCCTGGAGACAATCTGCTGTTGCTTTTTGGCACGTTTAGTATTTTTTTAAACCACACAAAGGTTATGCCCAGTTCTCTCAGTGACACAGGGATTTTTTTGGGTGTAGGTGCAGATGGGCATTTGCCATGTGCTGGAGCATCCCGAGTTTTCTCCCCTGTGCTGGGCACTGCTGAGGCTGAACGTGGGATCCTGGGTCCTGTTTGGGATCCCTCATGACAAAGACATTGAGGGGCTGGGGCGTGTCCAGGGAAAGACACACAGAAGAGTGTGTTCCAGAGGAGGGAATGGAGATGGGGAAGGGGTTGGAGCAGCTGAGGGAGCTGGGGGGCTCAGCCTGGAGAAAAGGAGGCTCAGGGGGGACCTTCTGGCTCTGCAATCCCTGACAGGAGGGGGGAGCCGGGGGGGGTCGGGCTCTGCTCCCAGGGAACAGGGACAGGAGGAGAGGGAACGGCCTCCAGCTGTGCCAGGGGAGGGGCAGGTGGGACATCAGGAGGAATTTCTGCCATGGAAAGGGTGGTCAGACATTGGCAGGGGCTGCCCAGGGAGGTTTGGAGTGCCCAGCCCTGGAGGTGTCCCAGGCAGGCCTGGCCGTGGCACTCAGCGCTCTGGGCGGGGGGACAGGGTGTGGGTGTGTCACAGGCGTGCCCGCCGGCCCGTGCGGTGTTTCCCAGCCCACACGGTCGCTGTATCCCCGCTGTATCCCCGCTGCATCCCCACCATAACCCCGCTCCCTCCCCGCGGTGCCCGCACCGGGGCCGCTCCCGCCGCTCCCTCCCCGCTCTGAGGGGCGTGGCCGGCGCGGTGACGCCATCGGCGCGCGCGGGCGGCGGGCCCGCGCTGTGTCACGGCCATGGAGTACCTGATCGGCATCCGCGGCCCCGACTTCGTCCTGGTGGCCGCCGACACCGTGGCCGCCTCCAGCATCGTGCAGATGAAACACGGTGAGACCCGCCGGGGGGGGCTGCACCTCCGGCCCGGCTTTCCTTCCCCCCCCTCCTCCCCGCGCCCGGGGCTGTCCCGGTGCGGTGTCCCCGGCCCTGGCTGGGGCGCTCCCAGGCCGCGCTGGGCCCCGGGGGAGGGTTTTGCAGGGGTGAAGGTGCGGGGAAGCAGTGCCGGGGGCTCCAGGCGGGGTTTGGTCGGTGCTGGAGGTGCCAGGCGGCCTCTGGTTCAGCCCGCGGTTCCGAAGGGCCTCTCTGAAGTTCCCAATCCTGAGCCCGGGGCTCAAAGGGCCGCTTGTGAGGCTTCCAATCCTCAACCAGTACAACTATGTTTTATATATATATATTATTATTATATATAAATTGTCCTATATTATTATATATAATAAACACTGTGTTGGGTTCTCAGCTTAACCTCCCTGCCCAGCTAAGCGTTGTCTTGCCGAACAGCCTTTTTTTCACTGATGAAAATATACATAGGATATAGGACTTAGTTTGCCCTTGGAGGGGAGGGTTAGGGGCATAACCCCGTAGATTTCACATAATTATTTAGAATATTGGTGTTTGCTGGTAATTGCTTTAATTAGTAAATGAGTTTCAGCCTGGAGAAGAGGAAGAAGAGAAAGATGGAGAGAGACTTTTTCCAAGGGCCTGGAGTGACAGGACAAGGGGCAGTGGGTTCACAATGACAAAGGGCAGGGTTAGATTAGAGATTAGGAAGAAACTCTTCCCTGTGCCACCAGCTGTGAGAAGCTGAATGTCAGCATTTGCTCAGGAAGACGTTTTTGGTGGTGTTCCAGGTCGTGGTGCACCTATCCAAGTCTCTTTCTTGCTTCTCGAGAGTCCCGGTGTGTCAGGATATTGGCAAAATAATTTACTCCTCTGACCACAGCTCTCAGTGTTGTTTCTCTCTGCCTAGACCATGACAAAATGTTTAAGATGAGTGAAAAGATCTTACTGCTGTGTGTGGGGGAGGCTGGAGACACGGTGCAGTTTGCAGAATACATCCAGAAAAACGTTCAGCTCTACAAAATGAGAAATGGTGAGTGAAGCAGGGCGGGTACTGGAGGCTGGGAGCAGAGCTGGGGTGGTTTCCAGGTGAATTTTCGTGGAAATACATTTACACAAATATTCTACTAAGAAACCTATTATTCTCTTAATGGGTCCACTGCATGCCAACTGTTACCACCTCTTCTGATATACTGGACACAATTCAAGCTACATGTCCTTAATATTTCCACTTTTTGAAGCCATGTATATTGGCATGGTCTATACAGACAGGAGCTCCCCAAATTTGGAGGGTCCTTTTTGTGCTTGTAGCTTTGAGGAAAAGCAGGAATTGGGCACAGGGCACGACATTTCCTTGCTGAGGAACATCTCTGTATTTCAGACAGGGGTGGGGAGGCGGGGGTGACCCCTGAGCGTGGGTTTGTGCTGCTGTGCCATAAGTGCTGGCGTTTCTCCCCAGGTTATGAACTGTCTCCCACGGCAGCTGCAAACTTCACCCGGCGGAACCTGGCGGATTATCTGCGGAGCAGGGTGAGTGGGGGCTGAGGGGCCTGGGCACAGCCCACAGGGGACATGTCCATCCTCAGGGCATGGAGTCTGAGACAGGTGGGAGCTGCTGTCTGTGGTGGGGAATTGAGCAGGGGCTGCCCAGGGAGGTTTGGAGTGCCCAGCCCTGGAGGTGTCCCAGGCAGGCCTGGCCGTGGCACTCAGTGCTCTGGGCTGAGGGACAAGGTGGGGATGGGGCACAGGGGGATCCATGGGCTGGGAGGGCTTTTCCAACCTCAGGGATCCTGTGAATTCACGTTGCTGAAAGGATGTCTTAGTAAAATATAACTTTATTTTCTTATTTAAAAAACTTATCACATCACTTATCAATAACTGATACAGCTATAGACTTAAAATTCCAGCCTTGGGCCCAATAAACACTTTGTCACTCACTGCAGACTTGAAGTGAATTAAACCCCTTGATAAGATTGGGGGTTTTCATGCAAATGCACCGAATCCGTTTAATCTTCTTGGAAAGTGATTTTGTAGAGCAAAGCTGTTTGATGTACTTAGCAAAACAAGCGCCTTTTGTAAACAGCAACATGAAGCTTTCAGTAAATATCAGACCCAAGTTGGAGCCGTGTGTTCGAGTTACTGAACTGCAATTAAACTGATGTTTCCCGCGGTGATTTTTTTCAAAGTGTGAAAAGATGTTGTGAAGGGGCAAATGGACTTCTAACAATCCAAGGTCAGGAAGCATTTCATTGAGAAGAACGTTAAAACGTGCCATGTGAGAGAAAACAGGAAGAAAGAGGGTGTTGAGAATGAAGTTGATCAACTCTGTCAGGGGTAGAGCGTGGGATGAATTGTGTTGCATTCCAACAGGGCACTGCCCAGGCCTGAAGTGAGGTTTTATGGTAGCAAATAAAGACCAGTATTAACCTCAGAGCTGTACTGTTGAGAACTATACCTGTGTGGAGTGAGAGTTCTCCGAGAACTCATCCCAGGAGCAGCCAGAGGTCATTGTTCTCCCTTCTGACGTGGATCACAGCTGCAGGTCACAGCTTTTCCCGGTGGGTCCCTTCCAGCTCAGATGTGATTCCGCACGACTCGCCTGGTTTAAATGGCTTCAGCCAGCTCCGTGGCTGGTGCTGATGGTTGGCAGTGGTGCTGTTGGCTTTGGCTTGCGTTCAGGTGGGATTAGGAAGGTCTGTGTGTGTTTTGTGCCCCTCTGTGCAGTTTCTGAGGCTGGTGGGAAGCAGCAATGCTGCTGCTTGGGGCCTGGCCCTGGGGGCTGCCTGGTGCTGGTAGCTCATCTCAGGGACAGCTGACCTGCAGGGATCAGACTGAGTGTCCTGCCCCACTTAAGCAGAGGCAGCTATTTCTTACATGTGATTCCAAGTACCTTTAACTGGCGTTTTGGTGGACTTGCCCATCGGGATTGATGTGGCACCATTGTCTCCCTCTGTGCCTCATCCCTTGAGGCCTGATCCTCCCTGTGGCTCCCCTCCTTCCTGAGCCCACGCCTGTCTTCCAGCTCACCTGCTCCAGATGGGCAGCACAGTGGGGAGGACACTGGCAGAGGCAGATGTGTTTATTTACCGGAGACAAAACGCTGCTCTGGTGCAGATGGCAACGCCCCGGGGCACGGCGCTCTCTGACACTGCTGTCACACTACACTGCTCCCCACACTGCAGGGAGAACCCTTTCTCTCCAACCACAGCACTTAATGACTTGTTTGTGGGGTTTAGAATTTGATAATACAAGCCTTGCCATCAGAATTAGGCTTTTTTTCCTGTGAACTTTGTTACGTTTCCGTCATCCTGTGTGGGATACCAGAGGGATTAACACTAGGTGCTCAATGTCTGTTTAAATTGCATGTGGGATTCCTGGAGGCTGCTGGTGTCATCATGTGGATGAAAAAAAAATTAAAAATAAAAAAATTTGAAGGTGAAATATGACAGTGCCTCCTGTTACGAGCAGGGAAATAGTTGAGAAGTAGAAAGTTTGGTGGGGAAAATGTAGTTTCTTGCTGTATTGGCACTCACCACGTGGAGCTGTTACAGAGGCCAGAAGGTGTGTTAGGGGAAAGGTTAAACTGCAGCAGGACTTTCTCAGGCATTAGAGTCTTGTTGGAGGTGAGTGATGCTGTAGTGTGTGGTGACAGGACAAGGGGGAATGGCCTTAAGCTGAAGGAGAGCTGGATCAGATGAAGTCCCTTCCAACCCAAACCATTCCATGATTCTGCTGTTACCTGGCTAACAGTGTGCTGGGTTTAGCACAAATAACTCACTGCTGAGGCTGTGTGTGGGAGTGGGAGAGAACACCCCCCTGTCCCTCCCAAGGTGGTGAAGTTCAGTGTCTGGTGGTGATGCTGGTTAATTATAGGTGACAGGGTCTGGCTGGAGTCCAAAGGCAGCCTGTCAGCTCCTCTCCCTGTGTCCACACTTGGCAGGAAACTTCCTCGCTCCCACCTTTCCCCCCTCGCTGTGACTTTGGCTTCCGCCAGATGTCACAGGGCTGTGTCACCCCCCTCCCGAGCTGGGGCCGGGTTGTTTAGCACAACTCTGCTCTTCAGCTGTAAATTCTGAAGAATTTCACACCTTTCCTAATTGCTGTCGTTATTTTAAATCAAACAGCAGTCAAGTGCAAAGCCAAGGGCTGGGGAATGTGTCTCTGCAGGAAGGGGAGTTTGGGACAAAGAAGGCACGTTCTGGAGTGTCAGCCAGCACTCATTTGGTGGCCCTTTAACCACACCAGTCTTGTCAAGAGTTTAGAACTGTTGGCCTGGATTGAGTCACAGAAGCCAAGGAAGGATGGACTAAAGGAATGGGATGTACAGGAAATTCCAGTGCCAGCATCAGGGTGTTATGCTGCAAATTTCATTTATAATCGTGGAAGGAATAAATAGATTAAGTAGATTTTCTGATGTTTAAATCCTGCCTTTCTTCAGTAATAAGGCATGGGGGATCATTATTTACATTTGAGTTTTAAGAAGTCTGAGAGACCATTAGCAGGAGAACTTACAACTGAAAATCAGTTTACAGATGGGTTTAAGTGTGTATAACACCATTTATTTATGGTTGAGTATCTCGCATATGCCAATGTTGGTAATTCCAAGTCACACAATAATTTGAGTGATCTTGTGTCATGGCTCTTAAATATCAACTTGTGTGATGTTTCAGAATAAATAAATGATGAAATGCAGCCTAATTAAACGAATACAGCTGCACGGTAACTTCTTTCCAAATATTCCTGGATGCTTTGAAGATTAAATCACACCATTTACAGTGATGTTTGATATAGAACTGAAGCCTGCTTTATTCTTTCTTACTGTCTGAAAGTAAAAATACAGTGTCCTGTGATTTATTCTTTTCTTGCATGGAAATTCACTGTACTTGGTATCAAAATGAACTTTTTCCTGTGATACAGTTAATGTTTTGGCTTTAGGGTAAAATTCTGTTTGCTTTTTTAATCTGTTGGTTGCATCATCATTTTTTTCTTATTTTGTTGCTTTGTTGATCCAGGCTTTCCAGCAGTTTAGAGATATCCTGTTAGTACAATTAATTTAATGAGAAACATTATGTAGATATGAAAATACTGGAACTATATAAAAGCTGCTTTTAAAAATACACACAATTCCCAAATTTTTTTCTGAGCCTACATTTAAAAATAATACAGTGCACGTGTGTTTCATGGTCTTACAAAGTACAGATCTTGGAAGGAGATGTGGGAGAAGAAGGGATGTTTGATTTACTCACGATGGTGGAACACTAAACCCAGAACATGGAGGAAACTGCCAAAGATTAAACTTGGTACATGCAATAAAAAATCAAATTACCAGTGAACAGGACCCTGTGTGTAACTGTCTGCACTGTGTGAGAGCTTTTATGAGCACTGAAACGGGCTGTGGTCACCAGGAGGGGCTGGGGAAAGAGCAAAGAGCAGGTTAAAGGAACAAAGAGTGCTTAGAAACTGCAAAATGTTCGTGTTGTGCTCACGTGTCGACAGTAAAATGCTTCGTGTTCTATGCTGAGATGAAAGAATCTGGTGTGAAAACCGCATTCAAGTTTGAGTGTGCTGTGAAAGCTGTTAAAAAAAACCCCAAACACGCCGGTCTTCAGGAGAATCGGAGTTTTATGGTTTTGTTTGCTCGTGCAGTCTGGGGTACCAGCAGACCTGATGGTTTTTAGGTTGAGACCCGCAGTGTGCTGCAGGCAGGGCTGGTGCAGCGTCTCCTGGCGTGGAGCTGTGACAGCAGTGGTGCTGTTCTCCCGGTGCCACGGGGAGCTGGGATCCAAAGGACCCCAGGGTTTGGGTGTCAGTGCTCTGATGTAACCGTGCTTTGTGTTTGCAGACCCCTTACCACGTGAACCTTCTGCTGGCTGGCTATGACGACCACGAGGGCCCTGCCCTGTACTACATGGACTACCTGGCAGCCCTGGCCAAGGCTCCCTTCGCAGCACATGGGTACGGAGCATTCCTCACCCTCAGCATCCTCGACCGCTACTACAAGCCAAGTAAGTGGAGTCTGGGCCAGGAAAATTCTCCTGTTTCAGTTTAGGTCTCAGTTTATTGATCAGTGAGACTGACACTGGCCAAATCAGGTGTGATTGCTGTGGTGCTGCAGATTGGAACTTGACTTTTTGTTAGATAAAGGGAGCTTCAGGTGTTGCCTGCTGGAATGATAGTGTGAAAGTGGTCAACTCCTGAGTTTTTTTCCTGATTGCAACTTAGACTGAAGTGAAGGAAGTTTAAGTTTATTCCAAAACATGAGTAGACTTTCCTGGACTATTAGTTGCTGGTAGTCTGCTTTTAATGAACAACAGTGTGGTAACTTTGTCTTCCTGCTTGTCTGTTGGCTTTGACATGTGCATTTCCCAGATTATCAATCTGCAGAGGGCAGATCCTATTGCTCCATATCTTGGATTGGCTTTGTGTGTGATATATTAAAAACATTCAAGTGAAAAGATAAGCCTAGTGAGATTGTCTCCAGCACTCTGAAGTGGTGGTGATTAATCATGGAATATGAAATGGTTTGGGTTGGAAGGGACCTTAAAGCTCATGTTGTTCCACTCCCTGCCATGGGCAGAGACACCTTCCACCAGCCCAGGTTGCTCCAAGCCCCATCCAACTTGGCCTTGGACACTTCCAGGGGTGGGGCAGCTCCTCTGGACAACAGAGAGATTTTTGGACTGATTTACAGCTCTGTGCACGTGGCAGCTGCTCATCATAATTGTTGCACGTGTTTGTACCTGTCTGAAGTTTTAATTTTAGAATCATAACCCACTGCCAAGGAATGAACATGGCCCCATCCCCGCTGTACAGATGAGGAAATTTGCAAAGCTTGGAATATTGTTAATCTGACATCTTTGGCTTTGCCTACAAAACAACTTCACTCCTGTGTGCTAAATTTAAGTTAATATCTCTGCTCTGAGATTAGAAATCCTTTCATCCACCTCCTGCAAGAAATGTAGCTGTAAACTGATAGTTTTATTCAAATGGAATTTCTGCCTGAACAGTGAATGCAGATCTAGAACAAAGTGTAGAAACAAATTTTGAGAGCTCCACAGACCTCGGTTGTTTTCCAGTCGTGTCCCTTAGAAGTTCTGTTGTTCCATTTGCACCATTCCTCATGGAACGGAGCAAAATAAAGACCTGCAGTGCATGGCCATGGCTTGTCATCCCTGTGGAGTGCTGGATTTTAGCCCGCAGTGTTTGAGTAGCAGGAGCATCCCACACGTGCCTTCCCCACCTCTGAGCTCAGCCCCGGCAGGAACGCTGTGCTAAACCCATCCCCACCTCCTGCCCCCGCCTGGCAGCCGGCTGGGGCAGCTGGAGCTGATTTAGGGCTGGAATAAGCTGGAGGACAGGGAGGCAGAGCCCGGGCCCTGGCCATGGGAGGCAGAATTCCGTCATGCTTCCCGTTGCTGTAACAAATCGATTCTCAATGGCTCGTTGCGGCGGGAGCGCCGCGGTGCAGGCCGTCCTCGGGACATCTGGAAAGTGTTTGCTGGGAGCTGGGAAGGAGAGGTTTTGGTGCTCAGCTGAAAAGTTGTTTAAATTTAATAAAGTTGCTGCAGGGAGAGAGAGAGATGGCCTCTAATGGAATCAATCTGTGGATGTTTTCCCGTTCAGGTATCACACGTGAGGAAGCCATGGAGCTCTTGAAAAAATGCCTAATGGAGGTGAGTTGCCAAAATCAGGCCCTGGTGATCCTGAGAAAGGGATGTTTGTTTGCATTCACTCGCTGAGACTTTCCTGTTCCCCTTGTCACGTTTTTCTCTGCCTTTGCCAGAAGGGTAATAAATGCACATTGGCCAGATGTGGAGGAGCTACTGAGGGAAGGGATTTGTGGGCACTTGTGTTGCCTTTGCACGGTTCATGTCCTCCAGAACCTAAACTTGGAGCTTAATTGCTTTTCTTTACTTCTGCTTCTTCCGTGCTTAGCATAATATTGATACAGACCTTTTCCTCTGGTGGTTCTTCTGACCATCCTGCAGCATCCTTGTGTTACACTTAAGCACTCTAGAAGTATGTACTAGTTCTTTTCCAGCCTCTGAAATGATACCTGAGGTAAAGCCTTGGCCTTAAAGTTCATGACCAATATTAGTGTAAACAAGACTCCAGGTATTTCAGGCACCAAGGCTTTTGTTGTAGGAAAATAGTCTTGATCCTTGTCTTAAGAGACTGAATCAAACGTAACTCTGGGGAAACATCAGGAAGAAATGCTCTAGAGAGGTCCTGCTTGAAGTATCTTTGTGATACATGCGCTTTGTGCCCAAAATTGTGGCCCAGTTTAGTCTTCCTGCTTAAGTGTTAACATGTAAGGCCTGTGTGTTTTGCATCTCCAGCCTGGGCTTGTCTGACGTGGAGGACAAACTCACACTGATTCATTCCTGAGCCGTGAAAAAGCCCACCCTGGTTCCTAACGTTTCAGGTCACTAGGAGCAGGATGGAAATTTTGTGGTGCAACAGCATGCCTCTTAAATTGTATTCTCTTCTTTTATTTAAGCTTTGAGTGAATCTCATCTCTTTCTGTCTCTCTGTCTTTGCTGAACAGCTCCAGAAACGCTTCATCCTCAACCTGCCCTCCTTCAACGCGCGGTTCATCGACAAGGACGGCATCCATGACGTGGACAATGTGCCCCTTACCAAGCTGGACTCCTAACCCCTGAGGTCTTTCTGCAGCACTCTTCTTGTTTTGTTCACTTTGGGGTTTGTGTTTTTTTGTATTCATTTGAAACACACGAGTCATGTACTGCAGTGGGAGATCAAATAAAGATTGACATTTATACAGCCAGTTTTATCTTTTTATTCCGCTGATCCTTCCTGAGAGGATTTAAGTAGATTGTTCCACAGTGAAGGTGAAACTTGATTTGCTGTTCGTGGGGGCACATTCAGGTGATTTATCTTTCCTCTTCTGAGATTTTACTGCTCCCCAAATCTCCTGTGTGGGAAGACTGTCTTTTCTCCATGACACTGTGCTGTCATCTCCTCTCATCAGTAAAGCTCAGCAAACCCCACACAAGTGTTCCATGCCCATCATACACCACATCGACTTTATTTTTCCAAAGATGTTACCACTGTTTACTTTACAAAACAATAATCAGGTTTTCAAAGGCTTGATTTGCTTTGGATATAATTTTCTTTGACTTAAATTAGATTTTCACACAGAGTGGAGTTTAAAATGCACTTTTAACTCTCCTGGCCATGGTTGCTGGGAAAGAGTTTCTGCTGGCACAGTGGGTTCATAACTACTTTAAATAGAATTTAAATAATATTTTAAATAGAAACTGATGTATCAAGTGATTTTTATAAATTGTTTTGTCTATACATTTAGAAGTCCATGAAAGCAGTTTGATGAGAAATTAAACTGCAACACTTTTCATAAATATTTGAATTACTCTGAGTAAGTTAAAGCTTTGTTTCCATGAGACTAATCCCTGGTCTAGATACTCTAGATGCTGCTTCCCTACGAAACCCCCATTCATGGAACAGCCTCGGATAATTATCATGTGGCTGATACTTGTGGTCTGCCCAGAAGTGATTCTTCTGAGGTGAGTTTTTGGTGTGACTCTCTCCCTACTTGAATTGGCATTAAAAGTGCCCTGGGTGCTTATTGTATGTTTGAGTAAGCCTGGAAAAAAGGCTCTTGGAAATAGAAGGATGGATGTGTGCAGGACTGTGTCGTGGCACAACAGCCAGGTCCTCAGCTGGATATGGGGACAGACCCAACTCTTTATTTGTCAAAGATTTTTGGGTTTGCCTCCAAACGTTCCTGCCCTGTGGAATAGATGAGAACTGGATGAGACTGAGACTTGCTTAATGTCACAGAAGAAATTTGCAGCTCCAGTGCCTTAACTCACCCTGCCTCTTACATAAATCTGATTCTCCCCTGAAGTCCTATCAGGCTTTGTAGTTTAATTCTTCCCAGAAAGAGTTTAATTATCCTCTGGTTTTGCCGTAATGGCTGCTCTGAAATTTGTATCTGAGATAAAGTACATTTTGCTAAAATTTACTTTTAAAAACCTTTTAGACTTTTACACCCAGCAGTCCCCAGCCTGATGATTTCCTCCTGGCAGGTCACGCTGAACACGAGCAGAGTCTGAGCCTTGTCATTCAGCGACTGAAATCTCACCCCTTCGTGTTGCATTAATGTGCTTGTTTAGCCTAATGCAGCCTCTCTAATTTATTTTCCCACTGATGTTGAATGTTTTTGCAGGTTTCTTGTCTCCTTTCAGGCTCGTCACTGCAGAGGGGCTGAGCTGATGTGATATTTTTGTCACTGCATATCAAAGCGGCGGTGCCTCCTTATTGGAGGAATTGGTGGCTTCCGACCCCAACCCGGGGTGTGGAGCTCTTGGGTGGTGTGAGCCCGGCAGAGAATCTGCCTGCAGTTTTTATTGGCACCTATTTGCATGCAGGTGATTAATAAACATAAAACGATTCTGCCCTGCTTGGATTCAGGTTGGAATGGAACATATGTTTAGCCCGAGGGCACGGCCCAGGATCTGAATCCCCCACGGAGGGGAAGATCCAAGGGGTTGCATCCGAAGCCAATGGAGCAGCAACCTCGAGGAATGAATAAATGCAGCCCTTGATTCCAAACCAGGAACAAAAGAACTGGCCCACAATGAGACTGGACTCTAACAAAGCAGATTTTTTGAGGACTTTCTGAGAATTTACACTTTTTAAGGAAAAGTGTGATGATTTGCTGCATAACTTATTTTTAAAAGGTCTACAGTGCTGATGTTTAAATTCAGAAGCCAGTTTTTTGACAATAATATTTAGAATCTGGTTGAAAAATCAGTATCTTATGTTACTAAAAGAGAAGAAAACTTAACCTGCTTCAAGTTTAACCCTAAAGCTTTTCAAAGTCATATTTTGCCTAGAATCCAGGAGTCCCTTGGAAAGAATTCACCTTTCCATTTGAAATGCATCTGAATTTATCATGACAGGCCTCTCTTTCATAAGAGATCTCTGAAAGAACTGAGCACCGCAAGAAAATCCTGCTTTGTCCTAATTTTTGTGGTTCATATTATAAAAAATGAAGGTTGCAGACCAAGGTGCCGTGGTCCTGGGGCACTGTGGTCCCAGTGAGCTGCTCTGCCTCGCCTTGGCTGGTAATTCTGACCATATGTTCTGCTCCCAAGGCCTCAGGGCCCAAAGAGTTAACAAGGCCCTTTTTCTCCTGTTAGGTTTCCTGTTTAAGGGTGGTGTTTTCCTGAGGAGCAGATCATCACCAGCTCATCTCTCCAGAGCTCGGAGCCCGCTCCAGGATCAGTTTACAGAGCTTTTGTGCCTTAGGCCACTGTTGGGTTGGGAGTGCTTTGCTGAAGGAAGAATGTGAGTGTAGGTGCAGCACTCACAGGGCTTTTTCTCGGTGTTAATTCCACCTTTCCCTGAAGAAAATCTGTGTTTTGGGGCTGACCTTCCTGCCAGAAGGAACTCGGACCCAGGGGAGTGTTCAGTGCTCATCTGCCTGGCAGAAGCTTTGCCACCAAATGGAACTGTCACGTTTTGGAGTCAAGGCGTGGGAGCAGGGGGGAGAGATCAGGTTGAACTCTCCCAAGGATGTGCTTTCCTTTGCTCTTGTCTCTAGTTTTGACAGCTCCTGCAAGAGGCATCAGCCCATGCCAGGGCTGACATTAGGAATTATGCTCATAGGATTTGGTTGAGTCCATTTTCCCATCTGAAGCAGGGACAGAAATATTCCTTTTGTATGAAAGAAGTTGGCATTTGAGGAAGGAAAACCTGACTTTGCTACCTGTGAAGCACTTCCTCTGTATGTATTTAAGGAAAAATGAATTTATCCTACCTGTGAAAAGTTTATCCTTCAAGCCATTTTTAATTCTTTAAAGGTTTGACCTTACAGAGTTTCCATGTCTTGTTATCAGCCATCAACAGTAATTTAGTGCAGGAAATTTTCACTGATCAAACTAAACAGACATCAGTTGTTTTAACAGATTAAAAAAAAAAAAAAGCAGCAAAATGGAAATGGTGGAATTAAAATACACAATTTGTCTGTTTTCCATGCCCTTGACTGTATTGATTTGGATCTCTGTGTTCTCCTGGCTGGCTGAGGACAACGTTAAAAAATAAGTTAGTTGTCTTGAAAATGTAAAGTGACAGTTTAAGTGTTTTGTTTCTGTGCTAATGTGCAATTAGGTCGTTATCCAATAAGCTGATTCATGTAAGTCTAACTCGAGACAGCTGTGGAAGGAAGGCAGGGAGAAAGCCCTTTGCTGTTGGGGAACAGGGAGAGGGTGTCCAAGAGGATCTGCTTCAGAACTGCCAGGATGGGCTTTTTCCTTGTGTTAAATAGTAAAGCCAAGCAAAACTTGTGAAAACATTAAATTCTTCTGATCAAATCTACAGAGAGAAAACTGAAATGTGAGTAGATCTGGATACCAGCAAGTGTAGTATCACTTTTGATCTATAAATCAACTCTAAGGCAGCACCACAAGGCGGGACAACCTGCAGTGTTGCTCTGGGAATGCAGGAGATGCCATTCCCTGCTCCCCGAGCTTTTGTTTTTTGGGGAACTCGTGTGTGTCTCCCCAGCCTGTGCATTCAGCAGAGGGCACTGATCCTGCACTCTGCCACCTCCTCCCAAACTGGTTTGGCCTCCTCCTCGGAGCTCATCTGGTGGTCACAGAGCTCGGTGTGGTGAGGGAGGGTCAGTGCCTGGGCTGGCAGTGGCAGGTGGATGTACCAGCTTTGTTTCTTCCCTTGCAAGACACACATTTGATTTTTCACAAGCGTTGGACAGTTGTGCCATGAAACAGGTTAATTATCCAGGAGTTTTCAGGAGGGAGGATAGCCTGGGACTCACCAAAACAACCAGAAAGAGCAGCTGGATTCCATCCTCCCCTCGTTCATCACGCACTGACGCGCAGGGAGGCAAAGTAAATCTCCCATTTTTTTAGGATAATACAATTCTCCCTTGCAAAGCAGCTCTGGACATTTACTGCTCCAAGGGAGGATGCTCACAGGGCTTTAGCAGCAGCTGTGCTGGGGAGGAAAAACTCCTGCTTCCAAAAAATCTGCTCAAGGAAAAAAAAATCAGGAAAAGTCTTCAGTGGCTGGTGTGGAATGTGGGATATTATAACATTCATTTGCTCCTTCCCAACAGGTCTGCAGTGTGCTGAGGGTGTCATTATGGGCCTGGGCTGAGCAGAAAATGCTGTGTAATTAAAATGTCCCCAGTTGGATTATGTGGGAATCAGAAAGTTTCAAGTGCATAACCAGACTCTGACATGGGAATTGGGAAAACATTTCCAAAGCTGTCAACTCCTTTTGTGGTTTTTCTTTCTTTTTTTGAACAGCAGTTTTCTTGGATCTTTAAAACAAGTCTGTTACTGGGCAAGGCTGAGTTCGGGATATAAAAGGATTTCCAGGGTTTACTTATTCCTTATTTTCTCTGCTTTAAAGTGATAAGGTTCAAACCTGTTTCTCTCTCTCTTTTTTTTTTAAGTTTTAAACTCACGTAGCTCTGAGAGAGCACCTTCAAGACAAAACCAATCAAAAGGGGGTTTTAATTTAATTTCTTACAGTGTTCTCTCAAAGCACACGAGAAACCTGCCCAGAGCATCACGCTGGGGCTTTGCTGGGGCACATCTTGGTGGTGTTTCCCTCCGTGTTGGTGGTGCTGGGCTGAGCCAGGGGAAAGCTGGTTGTGTGAGCTCTGCCTCCTGGATTCGAGGTTAACCCCTGCTGATGTGTTTAGGAGCTGTGAAACCACACGGTTTTGGTTTTGGTTTCCATATTGGCTCCAAAATTTGCAGAGAGCTGAAGCAA